AGGCTAACAAATGTGAATTTAAGAGAGTCTTTGTTGCCCCCAGAGAAAAAAAGTTTTTGTGTCTCCCAAGTTTTTGTATGTAGGCACTAATTCTTTGAAAAGGAGAGCTACTCTCAAAGAATGAAGGGACAGGAAGGTGGGGTCATTTTTGCAGCCAGTTTGATATAAAAGCAACCTTGGCTACACAGGTTTGTGCTCAAGCCGGTCTGGGGGAGGAACGCACTGACGGCAGAAAGCCTCAGTGGAAAACGAAGCTGAAACCCATCTCGCAAAACCCCCCCTTGTACCGAATGTTTCACTGGACGCACTCAGATTTGCTGTTAACTTCAAGGCATCGAGCATAGTCTGTAGAAGACTTATCTGGCTTAGTTCCTGGAATGCAAATTTTCAAGTGATGAAACTACTAATGATTGCATCAAGGTATTTAGTGGGAAAGCTTTTTACCGAGCTACCAGATATCTATCTTCCTGCAGAACATCATGCTCCTGTGTTGCAGCTGTTCTGAAGGGAGAATGGAACGTTTCGAGATCGTGCTGAGTGGAAAAAAAAATGGTATGCTCCTGGGCATATTCCTAGCTTCTTGGATGCCAAAAATACAATCCAATCAGGAACATTAGAAGGAAGTAAAAACTCATTTTTTCCAAAAAGGAGCAAGAGAAGTGCAAAGGCATCAACTCTACATGAATGCAAATAAATCATACACTGTAGTTTTCATAGTGCTCCCAAAAAAAAAAAAAGTCTGCATTACCACTGTTAAACTCCTGAAATTTAGGAGTATGGCTCTCCAGAAAAAAATCTCTAGTCCTGCAAGGAAATCTGCAGCAAAGCAAGGAGAGTAAATTTGCTTCTTGGTAAACACTGAGAAAGATTGAGTTCCCCACCAAACTTCTTCCCCAAGTTTAGTGAGGAAGAAGTGAAGGGGAGCTCCAGGTTTGCTCTTTTTAAAAAGCAAATACAGGCACAGATGTTACCCTTTGCAAAGTATCTTTATGCTCAGTGTGCCACTGTTTAATTTCTCTCCAAGTGCTGGTTTTGGCAGGTGGAATCTGCTTCAGGGTGATAAAAAATAAGTGGTTGTAGCAAAATAATTCCTGGAGGTGGTTCCCCATGACTTGACCCACCATCCCTCCCAAAGATCATTTGTGTTTCTGTGGATCCTCAGAAATCTTTGTTGAAGTCTTTGGACCTTACTGAAATGTTAAAAGGAGATCAAATTACTGGATTTAAGGAGAGCCTGGATGATGCATATCAAGCAGAAACGAGCAAAAAGAACCCACAGTATCGTTCTGTGGTTAAAAGAAACAAAGTGAAGTTAGGTGGGAGGTTAGTTTGCAATCAAGTAGAAAGCAGGATGGATTTTCCCTGCGAGAGAGTGTGAAGCTGTCCTGACCTGAAGCTCACTTCAGATGCTGTGACCTCATCTGATGAAGTGGACTTCAGCTTACGAAAGCTTATGCTCTAGATCAGGGGTTCCCAACATTTATGTGCCCAAGGGCACGTTTGAATTTAAAAGAAAAAGCGGGTGCCAGTATGAATATTAAAGTTTAGAATTTAGATCAATCTGATCATCTCATCCATTACTTAAAATGTCATTAGATCCGCAACTTCAAAATGCAGCCTCCCTTTACTTTGTATTCTTTTGAAGTTTTATCCATGGCGCCCGCGGGCACCATGTTGGAAACCGCTGCTCTAGATATATCGATATCTGTATCGATATTGATATAGGTATTGATAGAGATAGATATAGCAACATCTATATGTGCTACATATATAGATGTAGATATCTCGCTCTCTCCTCTGGTGAGTCTATAAGGTGCAAATCTACCCTGCCTTCTAAAAAGAAACAAGAGCCCCAACACTTTCATAGCTTGCTGAATCATAAAATATAAAATATGAGTCTGTTCTCCTTTTAAAGTTTATTTCCTAGTCATTACTATTTATATAACCATCATGAACAAGCAGTACCTACTTTGCATCTGAAGCGAGATGCGAAGTGACCCGCACATTGTAGGCCCTGCAGGTTTGATCTCCTTTATATCACCTGATATTTCATTGGTAGGAGGTTGCTGCAATATTTCAAGCCCTGAAATTATGTAAGATTTGTACGCAGCGTCTTTGAAGTTGGTCCCTCCCTTAAAATGTTTACTACTCGGTATGCCCTGCTGTGAGAATTGTCAAGGATGAATAGTCAAAGCAAGGGAGCTATCAGGTTAGTACAAATATTCCATTCCTCTTCCCTTTCTGAATGTCCATGAAGTTCTGTCTGTCTCCATTTCAGTCAGGGAATACATCACACATTTGCCCAGCTGCTTGTGGAGTCTTAATGTGACACTTCATGTGACTTTTTGGCATGGGGTATGATAGCACTGAAGGAATCGCCTGTGTTAGGACAGTAAAAGCTAACTAGCATTTAAGGATAGCTTAGATTTTAATGTTGATTATTTTTAGATGTTCTTCCCTTAAGTACTGAAAAACCAGGAAGATAATGTGAAAAGGAGGCTGAAGTAAAATTCATTATTATTACTAGTACTGCTGCTACTTGTAAATTGTGTCCTACTTTGATATGGTTTAAAGGTTTTAAAGTCTATTCTGCATAAGCTGTAAATCCCATAGCCAGCATACAGTCTGAGCAGCAGGTCTTTGTACGTGGGAATGTCTTGGTAATAGGAGAAGTCTTCCTCCATCCTTTTAGCCTATAGTGATAGCTGTTTCATGGCTACTATTCTATTCTTCAGAGCTACAATTTCCTTTGGTACTCATTGAGCAGGTTGAATTATAATGATAAAAAGCCAGTGGACCTGTATACTTGTGGGTACATAAGCCCCACTTTTGATTTCTCCTATCCATGCTCTAAATGTCAGGGGTCTGAGGTATCCCTTAAATTTAAGGGATTTCTACCCTAGTCTAGCACTAACTTCCCTTTCCCCTGTTGTAAGAGAAGTGTGGGGATATGTCAGGGAACCACAGCAGAAATATTGCTGAAGTAAGTTATAAAACAGCATTGTGAAAAAGTTTGTAACTGCAGTGAAATTAGATAATTTTTCCATTCATTTGTCAAAGAACTTCCTGTTTTTGAACATTTGGGTTTGTCAGCCGTGTGTTTAATCAAATGACAAGGGAGTCCTAACAAGATTTTTTATCTTCGATGGCAGGGGTGGGCAAAATGCAGCCTGCAGGCTAGATGCGGCCCGCCAGGCCATTCTGCCCGGCCTGCGGGCCCCACAAAAATTTTAAAAATGAATAGCTATCTGCCCCTGGCTGCCTGTCATGTGGCCCTCGATGGCTAGCCAAAACTCAGTATGTGCCCCCCCCCCGGTCTATAGACTTTCAACTTTGACAGTGTAACACTTCACCTGTATTACTTGAATCTTCAAGTACTTTAAAAATATAATTTTGTGTGTGTGACATATATGAAAACACTTCTTTCATTAGACATTTTGCCTAAAGTTCCCCTTGATAGCCTTTGAAAAATGCCTGTGAACATCCTGGGATTAAAAAATGAAAAGAAAAAAAAGTCTACTTACAGAGTACCAAATAGGACCATCAGTTCTTTGTATTCTTAAAATGGAAATTTAATCTCCAGCATATTGTCCATTGAATTGCTTGTCTTTTTTATTGATGCAGATTTAAATCAAAGAGATGGCATTTTTCTCAGTTACTCCCCATCTTGGCTAGTTCATCGCATTAATGTAGAACAGAGGTAACAAGACTCTCAGATTAGACAGGTTAGCGCTTTATATTTACTTAAAGGGACCGCCCAATGTGCAGGGCAGTGGAGAATCAGGACCCATGCTTCTGTGTTTGAAATACCCTTCATGTGCATGTTCATTCTTACTGTGATTGAAAAAATGGAATTGCTTTGTCCATTTTCCCTTTTCATTTGGATGTTTGGACAATGGTGCCCATTTTTAGAAGTACTAAACTTTCGCAGAGTATTATCAGCTATAAATGGGATTTCTATATTAAGCCTGTGCATGTTCCAAATGTTGCTTAGGAGGCATTGTTTATCAGCTGTGTGTCTTGGCATGGGTTTGAATGCAACTCCCATTTGCAGAACAGTTATGTCTGTTTATGCGGGAGAAGATGCATTATTTCAAAATCGTTTTCAGCCTAGCAAAGTGGAATTTCAACAAGTGACATTTTGTATGATTGTTCGAATAACACCTTGCTGATAAGAATTAGGTAGGACTTATTCTTCAGTCTTGGGGCCTGATTCAGCACTGCTTTCCTCCAGTTTTATATTGCAATGAATTCGCATTGGGTACAAGTGAAGCAGCTTACACCCTTTATCCTTAGGGTGTTTTTAAAATGACACTATATGTGAAAGCTATTTTTGATCACTTCATATTTTTAGCATACTATGAAAAAAGGCTTTCTCACTGTAACATAACCATCACATGTCTCTCGACTGGGATACTGTATTTGACATCATTGGTATAGTTCTGCAAAAATATGTTTAGAAGTAATGTTATAAAAAATTTTGGCTCTGAAAGAGCTGACTAACAGAGCTTATAGATATGCAAAGAAAAGCTTCCTTCTATTACTCAAGTAGGTGTACTGTACAATAAAATACCCAGAAGCAGGGTTTTTTCAGTTCCTTTAAGAATTGAAGCAACAAAACCCTAATCTAGACATAATTCTTTGAATAGCACCAGTTTCTTTTCACAATAACTTTATAAATGCTTTCATGGAAACTCTCCAGCAGAAATGTTTTGAAAATAGTCTCAGACATTTGTTTTCTTTCCATTTGAAAGGCCTGCTGTCTGATGATGAGACTCTGAGTAAGAGCCAGGAGATCAAGTTTCTCTTCCTGCTCTGCCACTGAGTCACCGTGTGACCTTGGGCAAGACACTCTGCCTCTCCCTACCTCTGTTTTTCCATGGGTGAAACAGATGAAATGAAATACCAACCTACCTCTCCTGAGCAGTGAACTTCAGAAGGATTCAAGCTTTATCCACCCTGATGGGGTTCACAGGATGTAATTTAGAATGGATACTAGATTGTTGAGGAAGTTGTTTATTTGTCCTTTTTGTGACAATTTTGGCCAGCAGGACTGGAAGCAATTAAGATTACATTGAACAAGGACTCCCTCTAGTGAATTAGGCTCTCTCTTGAATAGGCTTTTCATGCAAAGTTCCTTTCGTTGTGCTGTCACGGGTGTCAGCTAGCATGAGTGGGAGTGCCAGTGTGGGTCAGCCCCAGCAGCACAGTAAACATGCTGGCTGAAATCCAAGTTCCAGTGAAGTCAGTGAGACCGGTCATTGATTTCACCCTTCTGTGATGTAAACCTGCAGGGAGCAGATTTAAAAACAGTGGTTAAGATGCCAGTTGCATTACTGTGCCTGTGGATGGCTGTAATCACCAGTGGTGATACACCTGTAAAGGGACATCAGTGGGAGGGCAGCGCTTGGAAATACTTAATCTAGGTAAGCACCCAGTGGATCTCTCACCCATGCTGCTTTTCAGATTAGGTTCTCTTACTCTCTTATGGTTAGATTGGAAAGAAAGGGTCCTTTTCTTGAATGAAAAATCATTAAAAGCTACACACACCTGATTAATATATATATAAAAATCTATCCTTACCTTTTTTATTGCTGTCTCATCTTTTGTATTATAATATCTAAGAACCTTAGATACGTAAAGGTAAGCTTATCTTTTTAAAGTGTTTTCAGAGGACCTTCGCCTTGCTTAGCTCGCCCCTCGCTGAAGTTAATGGTAAAAATGGAGGACCTTTGGTTTTGGTTTTTTATCCGTCCCCACCTCCCTTCTCTTGCTCTCTCTCTTCTGCCTTTGTATTGGTGGGAATTTACTTTAATTGTGGGAAAGCTGTGCCAACAACTAAGGGTTATGCTTCACTCTGAAGGCTGCAATCACTTTAATCTTTCCCAGCAATGAGTTCTGGGGCTGAGAAATCTTTGTCTTGCTTGCATGAGTTTCATTCTTGAGCCTTATAATCCCATTGTTCCCAAGGACCATACATGTTTTACAGGTCCTGGTTGCAGAGGTGGTCTCTCAGGTAGCTTGAGCCATTGGTGAAGGGCTTTGAAGATCAATACCAGAACCTTGACCTTGACTGCAGTTAACAGAGAGCCAGTATAGAGAGCAGAGTCCTGGAATAATGTCTTTTCAGCAGTACGTCTGGCTGAATAGCTAAGTTTCTGCATTCAAACCAGTTGGAACAATTTTCTGGGTTAATGTTTTCATTCCTGGCTGTGGTGCATTGTGATAATCAAGCCTTGAGGTCAAGCATATGTGGATCATGTAGGCAGGAGGTAATTTTGCCTGGATTGGTTGCAGTTCTGTGGTCAGTCATAGACAGAACAGGATATTTTTTTTTGTATAGCTAATTGGATATTCAATAGCTGCAAGGAATAAAGCGGCACCCCCTGGCTGCCCTGGAACCCTAAGGGCACACGTTGTAAGTGGAAGAGATGTTTTGTTGGAGGCAAGTTCTTTGAAGTGATTCCCCGTGCCCACTGAAGGCATCTCGATCTTTTCCGTGATTAGCTTCAGCAAGTCATTTCTCATCAAGGGTTTGGTGTCTCTTAGGCAAGGCAATAAAATCAGTCAAGTGGACCTTCATGTGGTCTCAGACTGAAATTAAAAAGATAACATTGCAAAACCTGATAATCTCATTGTGGGTAAAATATTGTAGCTATCATCTTGGGAAGTGTACCTCAGTCCCCATCCCTCAAACAGGCCGTGGAGAAAATGACAGGCTCCGTGCCCATGGATACATCATGAAATTCAGATTTACTTAGAGATCAACATGTCCGGTTCCTGATACGAAAGGTGGTTTTCCCACTGGCTAGGGAAAACTGTGAGCATGGCAGGGGATATAGTACCCTGACTGAGGCAAGGCATAGTTAGCCTCCCATTTTCACTTCCAATGGGAAGATCTTGGCTATATGCTGACTTTATGGAAATGGGAGATTCCTCCCTAGCTTGTTCCTGTGGCCATATGCCTGAGGTCAACCGAAACTCGGGGACATCCGAACCCCAAGCCTCCAGGCTTGGGCGGGCCTGCACATAAGATGCTCAGCAAAGGATCTGGAAGCACCTGAAGCCCCAGGTGGAGGTGGAGGATGTTTGCCAGTAGTAGGGCCACATGTGGTTCTTGAATGACTCACGGATTTGGAATTGATTTGGCTGATTTGATTGGAACATGCCAAATTAAAAAAAAAGAAGAAAAAAAGAAAAGTCAGGTTCCTTTCCTTTGGTCTTTAAATATAATGTTGTGACTTGAATCTGGAATTGTAAAGCACTCCAGCATAAGACTCCTACCATAATATCTTCTGGTTAGTTAAGACAGGAAAATGAAGGGAAAGAGGATATCCTTGTTTCTGATGATCGTCATGTCTCATAGTTCTGGTTTAATGATCTTTCTCTGGAGCAGCATATGGTTTGTTTTTTTTTAACATACCCAAGTGTCTTGTGGCTTGGTCTCAGCTTTGTGCACGATACGCTTTTGTCCATGGATGAAGATTTTTCACATCTGTGCTCTGTTATTACTTCTAAAGAACACAAATGGGACATTTACAAACCAAAGTTTCTAGGGTGGCAAGTTTTCAGTGGCTTGAGAAAATGCCAAGAATGCTCTTATATTTGCATCCCAACATGCTTTTCAACACAAAGTACTGTGAAGCCAGTGTTGCAGACATGGTATAATATATTGAAAGAATTAGAGGCACTCTCCACCTCCCTCTCACCATCCTACACTTCAAATCCAAGGTCCAGTATATATCTGGACACCTGGGATCTGCTTCTATGCCTATGTTAATATTTTGTCATGGAATGGGAGATCAGGGTTCACGCTTACCATGGTGTGCTTGTGCTTCATAGTGCTTGAACTTTAACTGTTAACCTTTTGTCTGAAAATAAAGCAAGGAATTGTAATATTTCAGTCTATCAAGAGAAGCTTTAGGTTTTTTTGCCTGCTTTACTGGTGTCTTTCAGTTGTGGGTAATCAGTTCCTTACATTTACCAGGAAAAAGACAGGGATGTGTTGTGTTGCCTTCCAAGGCACTTACAAGATCTAGAGCTGCTATCTGTTAATCTCTTCCCTATTTAGGTCAGTGCTCTGAGCACAAAGTGAATCAGCTCTGAGGAAGATGCATGTTAAACCTTCACACCCCGCCTCTTGAGTTTACAGGACCTGCTCTTTTGAACAGGTGAAACCTTGCTGTAGCTATTCCAGTCTCTATGCATCAAAACAGATAATGGACTATTTGGGGCTCCTGGTGACAGAGTTTGTCTTGTAAGTTGTGCACTAAACAGCTTATAGTTTATTGGAAAGATGCTTAACTAGAACAGCAGGTTTGAGGTCATTTGAGTTTCAGGGGGTCAGAAGCTTATAAATAGGCTTTGGCTCATAGTATACTTGTACAGGAGATGCACAAAGATATTTATATCTGTAACACTATATGGCATTTATAATCAATGCAGACGTGAAGTCGACAAGGGCTCTCATCTTGGGAACGCAGTACCTATTTTGGTATGAAATAACCTGAATTTGTTGACCTTCAGGGAATCCAGCAAGGCTTATTACCTCGTTGTTCTGGCTTTTGGGGAGGGAGGAATGTGACAAGAGCTGGGGTTGGTGAGGAGGGGCTTGAGAGTTGATGCTAATGGATTACTTACTATGGTTAAATATTTCATAATTTCATAAATGTTAGAGGCTGGAAGGGACCTTATGGATCATCGGGTCCAGCCCCCCTGCACTTTAATGTGTGTATCATTGTAAATTGCGTTTCTAGAGAATTTGGCCCATTCTGGTATATTTAAAAGATACTTAAATCTAAATAACATTTAACTATACTACTAGGTGTACAGTACTATAGAAATAGCATTTGGTAATGTAACTTTATATATTGCTTTTCATCCAGAAAAAATCTTCAAATACTTCACAGATTTTATCACTTACACTACTTTTGGCATGGGATAGGGTATGTTTTTGGGGCAGCAATACTAGACAGTTGGAAACATGCTCCTTCCCTCCCTCCCCTCCACTATCATTTTTTCTCTCTCCTTTAGCAGTAGGTGTATCTGTTTTATAATCAGTGTATTGATATTTCCAGAGCTCTGTGATAAGTTTTATGACAGTGTTTTTACCATCTGCCACGCTAGGTCCTTGGAGCTTACAGAGAATTGTTTCAGAACTATCTTGTGTAAATCGGAGGCCTTAAAGGGGTTAACTTCTTTAGCGTTGAAATCAGCAGTATATAGCTAGATCGTTAACTGATACCCATAGCTGATACTTCGCATACAAATGATCTGCTATAATTTACCATTCGTGCGGTAAGGAAAGTGTGGTTTTTTTTCCTATTAGAGATACTACTGCACTGCATGTTAGCTTGTGATTTCCTGGCTGGATTTTGGTATCTTCTGCTGACGAGCTGAGTGAACAACCTCCTCTGTCCACTGG